TTCAGAAACAATCTTAAAAATGAAAACGTCTATCATGCATATTCTTGGAAAGAGAAATTCACATATGATAATATTTTGCACTATAATAAATTTAATAAAGTAAGTAAACTAGCTAGAAAGGAAACTGTGAAAAGCACCGAAAAACAAATTACAGACAAGTAATTTAATTTAAACTTACAAATTAATATAGTAGACATTGCGAAGTTATATAGGACACTAGTAGTAATAACAGTAATCACTCATTACATTTATTTCGTTACTAGCGACTACATAATATTGTTTTCTATTTATACTATCCAATGTATATATTTAATTATCTACTCATTGGAGCTCTTCTTAGGCATCGCTCTTACATTGTCATTTTAGCTCATAGGAATCTTTATGTATTTCTGATTGCTAAATAAAACGAGTTAAAAAAAAAAAAAATTTAATTATCTATATATGCGGGGCCGAAAAATAGATTTTAACGTAATTGTATCCCTGGAAAATTCACCAAAACAGTACTTACAAGTCTCCACAATTTGATGACATATCCGCCAAGATTAAAGTGGTATTTCATATCAGAGCGGCATGTGGCACCCTCGTATTTTGCTTACGCACATTTCGGTGATAAATATCTTTTGCATCGGATTTTATTCAGGGCCGTTCAGAAATTCGGAGTACATTTATAGAAAAAAATATGATTTAAAATATAACCAGTAGCGTATGGCATCGTGCCTTAAGGCAAATTGCTGGAACTTTCTGTACCAAAATTTTTTTAAAAAGATTAACATTTTTGAAAAAAAAATTGCTCTGAAAAAAAATAGATTTTTGAGAAACAATAAATTTTTGACAAAAATTTATTTTTTTTTTGAAAAAAAAAAAGACGTTTTTTAGAAAAATGTATTTTGAAATATTATGGAAATTCTGAACTTTTTTTCAAAGCAATCGTACTGCTTTAACTGCATAGAGACGAAATATCGAAGCGCGTAAGCGCCGCGTCGCCGTCTAACGGATAAAAATTGGTTCGAAACCCATAGGAATGTAAACAAAATTTATACATATTGTTAAAATCTCAATAAAATATCTGATAATTTGATGTGCATATGTCTAATGATCATTTTTGACCACCAAATGGCATTTCTTTTACTTTTTTTACTAGATCTCCGAAACCGCTAGACCTGCTTTCCCAAAAATTTAATCAGTTCTTCACCTTGTCAATACAATGTTTTTTGAATTATTAAAATCGGACGCTCCGTTCTCTTAAAAACTGACTTACTGTTTTTGGCACTTTTTGCCCCGTATCTTCGGAACGGCTAGACCTGCTTTTGCCAAAAACTAATCAGCACATCTCCTTATCAATACGATTCGAATGTTTTTTGAATTATTCAAATCGGTCGATCGGTGTTTTCGAAATCGTCGACGAAAATTTGTATCCGCACACATACACATTAATTTTTTCTAAGGTATGTCAAAATGTTCAAAAACCTTTGAAACGTAAACATATATAAAAAACTTCAATTTCGATTTTTTCGCGATTACTATAACTTGAAGATTATTCGCGATTACTAACCTACGTGAAGTTAAAAATAAACTGTAATATGCAGCAACCATAGATATTAGATTTTGATGAAATATTTATTCGTTTATATTGTATATATAATAGAATATGATGTACTTTTTGGTTTCAATGTAATTTTTAACTTCCCGTAGGGTAGTTATAGTAATGAGCCGAAAATCGAAAATGAAAATTTTTGCATTTCTCGACGTTTTGAAGGTTTCTGAACATTTTGGCATACCTCAGAAAAAATGGGTGTGTGTGTGTGTTTTGTATGTCCGCTTTTTTTCGTCCACGTTTTCGGGCGCACGGATCAACCGATTTGAATGGTTCAAAAAACATTCGATTTCTATTGATAGAGAGATGTGCTGATTAGTTTTTTTTCAAAGGCAGGTCCAGCCGTTACGGAGATACGGAGCAAAGGGTGCAGAAAATACAAATCGAGTTTTTGAGAGAACGGAGTATCGGATTTGAATGATCCAAAAAAAATTCAATTTGTAATGATTGGGAGAAGAGGTGATTAGTTTTTGGCAAAGATAAGTCCCGCCATTTCGAAGATACAGAGCAAAATGTGCAAAAAATGACAGTTTTTGAGTGAACTAAGCGTCCGATTTGAATGATCTAAAAAAACTTTCTGCTTGTATTGACAAAACAATTGCTTTAGAGGATAAAAAATTATTACATCTTTTTTTATTTTCCATAAATTTTTTTTTGTTATTTTGGATTAAAAATTCAAAAAATTACCCAGGCTAAGCACAGTTTAAGCGCCACTCTGGTACAAATATTTACACAAGTGCGTTTAGACGATTTTTGTACTGGAGCACTTTTCCAATTTTGTGAAAACTATTGAAAATGCCGCCAAGCTAAGCACAGTATAAGTGAAGAATTATTTGCAAAAGCGTTTAGATGTGACTATACGGGAGCACTTTTTTCAATTTTATGTTCTGGAGATAAATTGATTTATGATTTACATTTGATTTGCTCAGATATAACAAGATAGCAAAAATAATGAAAGTTACAGTATTTGTAATAATATATTTGAAAACGTTTAAAATTTCTCGAATATTTCATTATGCTACGAGAAGTTCCAGCAATTTGCCTTAAGGCACGATGCCATACACCACTAGTTTATTAATTAAATTTATCTTTCAATTCATGCAATCACTATAATTGTTTCCAAAGCAAATTTGTGGTCGGCGTCGTATTTTGTGGTCGGCGATGTTAGAATACCTATAATTGAGGTTTCATTTGAACCATCCATCTACATTTTCGTTCTGAAGCCATATATCTCTTCAATAATATCATTAATTTACGATTAGTCTTTATTCATTTTTTTTTATTTTTGTCATTTTGAATAATGAAATTAGTGGCGTCTGTTATTTGGTATGAAACCTAAGCAAATCTAACCCCATGCAATCGACAATACTTCATTTGGCTTCTGTCTAGAAACATGAGAGATCTGCCCTTTGGGGTTTCTGTTATAGCAGAGAGGTGTCTAATAAAGGACATCGTTTTAACACTACATCATAAACTTATTCTACCATTGATAATGTTATTGGAGTTTCAATAGATTCTTTATTATTAATTTTCTATTTTGAGGGTTCTGAGCATATTTTATGGTTGATTTTAAACTTCTCTCATTTCCGCAATAACTCTATAGCACAAAAGCAACATTTTGATATTTTTTTGTTTAAAATTTATTCTGATTCAAAACTTACCCATTGCTGAAAAATAGCATTCTTTGAAAATAAAGAACATGCATTTAAATGCTTCGACATTTGCCGTAATCTTTTCTATATTCATAACAAGCACGTTTCAAGCCCTTGTGAGAAAATTGTGCCATTTTATGTTATTATGGTCTAATTCTTTTTGAAAATAGGCATTACCACATATCACGAACAAAACTTTTTATATAAGATACTAAATCATTTACTATATTATATATATATATATATATATATATATATTGAATAGTCTTGAATTTGATGTTGATATATATGTTTAATTTGAGTTTAATATTCGGACGTAACATCAATAATATATATATATATATATATATATATATATATATATAGTGTGTGTTTGTGAATAATATATTGTAGTAGCCTATACATGGTGTAAGTGACCTTTTAATTGACACCTATATTTGATGATTCATTATCATTTATTCGAAGTTCTTGAAGATATACAAATTGTGATTGTTGTAAAATTTTTAATGCATTTTGAAAAATTTATAGACATAAGTACACTCGTTACATATTATTTGGTTTGGGCGTGGTTTGTTTTATTAAATTATAGAAATTTCCATAGATTGCGTATTTAATATAGATTGATGTATCGGAAATATAATATTTCTCAAAAATGACTTATACGCGCTTAAAAAGAGCGTAATAATAATTCGGTTGCCCGAAGGCGCAGGTCTTTTGTGTGAGAGCACCACAAATCAATGATTTCTTTTCATTGTTTATTATTTCCGTTATCATTTTATTACCATTATTAACTTTTTTATGAACTTTTATGGATTTTCTTTTCCAAACATTTGCTTCCGTGCTACCTGGTCATGTGTTTCGGCTTTTAGTTTCCTGTATTTTCTGTTCTCGCGTCGCTCATGTAGGAGACACTTTTTTAAACAAAGTTTATCATTCATATCCCCTTGGCCTTCCTTTTTTTTCAAAATATCTATATTTGACATGTATATTTCGACGTACAATAACATAAATTTATACGAAACTAGCAAACCCGACGAACTCCGCTTCGCCACCAGATGGATTCGTGAGAAAGATGAAGAAATTTTTTGTTTGTTTTATATTTGAAAAGGAAAAATTTGATTTTATTACACAACAGTAATGAATTTATTTCGATTACAAAAATGAAGTGTTTTTCAGTTGAACTTCTCTAAGTAAATGAAAGTGAATCCGCAAATTATCCGTTTCATTGAAGTGCTCTTTGGTAAACCGCATTTTTTGTTTTTTGGTCTGACGTTAACACAAACAAAGCGGATGGTTTTCCAACTCGTGAACAGACAACGTATAACTGCCCATGTAAAAAACAATGATTTTCTAAATAATCTGATAATTTGAAATTTCTCCGGTAAACACTAAGCGATTGGCGTTGCGACTTGGAAATTGCAATCGTTTGAAGTCAAACGGAAGACCAGTCGGAATCATTGGTATGTCAAATCGCAAGCAATTTTTCATTGAATGTTGAAATTCGGTGCGTGTACATCATTGCATTAAGGCACGTTGCCATGCGCCACTAATTTTTTTAGCTATAACCCTTGCGGAGCCCGAGACCTTTTCAACGAATGCAAAATTGTCGAAATCGTGTTTGTATATCGTCAGGAAGGAAAACCCGACTTATTTATATATATATGTAGATATATCAAACAAAAGATAATTTTGAATAAATTATATGTAATGTAATAAAGAATTATCATGTTTCTAATGTGTATGATTTTTTTCAGGCTAGTCGTTCAGAGCCGCCACTGCTATGTCTGCACTACAGCCTATATTTTGTTCGAAGCAGCTTATTATTTTACTTCTTGCGTTTTTGGTACCCAATACGATATCACAATTCCATTCAGAAACCGCCTCGAATCGAAGAAGACCCGAAACCGGAACCGATAACTACAATAGGAATTTCGGTTCCGGCAATTTTGATAGCAGAAGTAGAAATTTCGACAGCAATAACTTTGCCGACGATAACAATTTTGCTAACAGAAATTTCGACAATGAGGATAATCAAAATTTTGGAAACACCCGATTTGGAACCAATAGGGATTTCAATGATCCCAATTCGGTGAACAGAAATTTTGATGATTTTAATAGAAATTTGGATAACACTAATAGATTTGGAGGTGTGGACAACCGGCGCAATTTTACTACATTCGATAATGGCGACTTTAATAATAGAAATTCATTCAATACGTTTGACGGTGTAAATAGGAATGTTGATAACGACATTTATAATTCTGATAATAACAGAAGAACTAGTACAAATAGACCCTGGTTACCACAACCCACACGTGGGTTCAGCTTTAATAATGATTTTGGGAGGAGCCGTGGTGGTGGTCCATCCCTTCTGGATAATAATTTAATTATAAATGAAGCGTAAGTTTATTTTATTATTATGCGTATTGAATGTTTTTATAAAGAAATTTTATCATTCTCGAAACTAAAATTTCATTAATAAGTTGGTGCCTTAATTTTGTCTTGCTAAAATGGAATGATATGATAAAATTCATTTTCGGTGTATTAAAATTTCAATGTAAATTGTAAGTATAAATTTTTGTAATAAATTATCATACTGATATTCTCTGCATAAGCAGGTTTTACGAACATTATATTAAAATATGAACAATAAGTTGAAAAAAATGTGCATCTTATTACACTAAAATGATGTAGTAAATTATGTCTCTTCTAATTTGTCTTGTTAGCTTATTAGTCCAGTCATTATAGTAAGTTCACCTCGGAAGCTGCAAGTCTGTAAATACTTGTATATTGACACCTAAGTTGTCTCAAAACCTACATATGTTGCATACACTCTACCATATGTAGGATCTGAGACTTTTTTGTGTCAATATACAAGTATTTACAGACTTACTGCAGGATATCTCGAATTCCGAGATTCTTACCTAATTTAAGCTTAAATGACTGGTCTATATTACCTACATATTTGTGATTAACGAAATTTGCTCTTAAACTTCACTTTATTGAAAGATTATTGATTCTTACTTGAACAATATTTTGCTAAATTATATTATTGTCTTAATCGACAAACAACAGACTTAATCGCCGAAAAGTCTTTGTCATTAAAAATGTCATTCAATTTGCAGTACATACTTCATTGTCGCATCTCGAATGGTAAGGCCAGGGTCAGTTTTCCGAGTTTCCGCCACTGTTTTTCAAACCCCGGTAGCGCTTACAATTAGGGCTTCGATTTCAAGAGATGGAGTGGAGATAAGTTCTGACAGCCGAGATGTGAAAGTTGGAAACCCAGAAACTTTACTGATGAGAGTAAGTTTTCTTTAAAAATTGAAGTTACTATAAGTTGTCATGTTGATGCTACTTTTAATTATATTCTCCCATATTTATAAAATGGGCAATTAATTTTAATATAGTCGTTGCCCATTTCATTAAAACCTGTTATCATTTCAAAAATATGTTGTGTTTGCTGAAGTCATGGTTAATGTTGCTTGATTTTTTTTTATTTCATGGATTATTTGCTCATTTTGACTTGAAAAGTGCATTATGTGTACAAATTTGATGTGAATAGCGATGCTTGTAATAGATCTCAGAGATTTAGCGTAGAAGTATGAAAAATGTACGATAAAACGTTTGTTGACCATTGACTGTTTTTAGTCATCAGATTATATATATATATATATATATATATATATATATATATATATATTTCTATGTTTGCTTTGTTCATGCTTGTTATGCATTTTTTTTGCTTTTGTTTGTCGCATCAGGTACCGGGTACAACCGCACCAGGAGAATATAAATTGAGGGTCGACGGTTTGTACAACAGTTTAATGGGTGGCTTGGCTTTTTTCAATGAGACTAGGTTGACTTTCAGCCAACGTTCAATGACAATATTTGTTCAAACAGATAAGCCAGTTTATATGCAAGGACAGACAGGTAATAATTGTTTTCTTTATGTATCAATTCTCAAACAAATAGTTGTTTCTAAGCACAATTTGATAATATAGATACATCTTGATTACAACCGGAATCATATAATTAAAATTTTTTGTGCTTCTTATTAAACTGTTTGTGAATTTATATAATATAAGTTAACTAAAACAATTCCTCAATATTTGCAGTGCGTTTCCGAACTATACCAATCAATACAGAATTGAAAGCATTTGATGATGCAGTAGATGTATATATGTTAGATCCTAACAGACACATAATGAGGAGATGGTTAAGCAGACAAGTTAGTGTTTTAATTATTATAAAATTATACAAAAACAAACTGAGTTTATTATGATATCGCTATTGTTTTAATAATTGAATTCTAAAATTTTAGTCAAATTTGGGAACAGTATCTTTAGAATACCAATTATCGGATCAGCCTGTTTTTGGAGAGTGGGTGATAAAGGTGGTAGCACAAGGTCAAGTCGAAGAAGCCACATTTTTAGTTGAAGAATATTATCAGACAAGATTTGAAGTTAATGTGACAATGCCAGCTTTTTTCTTCAATACAGATAGATATATTTATGGTAATATATAACAATAGTATGGTAGTATAGCGAAAGCTATTTATTCGCGGGTGATTCAATGTTTCAATATTTCAGTCAATGTTTATAAGACAAGAAATTGCAAATCACATTTCCATTCTTAATCCTTCACCCAGATTTTCAAATTTAATGTCACGTTTCTAGTGCTTGTTGAAGGCTTCTTTTTAATAAGCTATGAATTTAACATTTTTTCCAAACTGCCTTCATTCAAATCTTAATCTTGCAATTCAAGTCATTCCTAGGTATCTCTTGGTTCTATTTATTCGAGCCCATTTTCAAAATACTTGGCAAAATTATTTAACAAAATACTTTAGGCCTTTTTTATTATTTTATTTGCCTGCGTTTACGATTGGATACCCATCGGAATCCTTTAATGATTATTTGGAATTTATAAATTCAAAGTGTTCATTTATTATATCCACGAATAGGTTTTTTTTTTTTTTGAATTCTTGAACAAAAAAATTTCGTGAAAGCGCAAAGAACCGTATTTGATTTGGATGTTCAAGGCCCGGCTAGCTCAGTCGGTAGAGCATGAGACTCTTAATCTCAGGGTCGTGGGTTCGAGCCCCACGTTGGGCGTTTATTTTTACTGATTTTTTTTTTATAATTACAAAATGCAAAGAGCTATTTTATTGAATGGAAAATTAATTGCATATTAATAACTTACATCACGTAATGATTAAGGTGTTCATAGCGTATGTTTCTTTGTTTTTTTAGACCTTTAGTTTTAACCAATTTTTTTTCTCAAAGCTGGGCTAATACTTTCTCACTTATTCATTTTTTTTTCTTTGTTCCATTTTTAGATGCGTGATGATTTATTTATATTCATTATTAATCTTCAATAATTTCCAAGAAAAAAATGGCTTTGAAAATCAGACAAGAGAAATTTTATTAGAAGTGTTTGAATGAAACTTCTTTTTGTATTAAGTTTATTATCATTCCTTAAATTTATGTTTATGCTTGTAATAGGCGAGAGTTGCTTTTATTATATATAACTTAAATAATTTATTTTTCAAAAAGGCAAAGTTATGGCAAACTATACATCAGGAGCGCCTGTTAAAGGAAACTTAACACTAAAGGCGACTATTAGGCCCATCTCAAGATTCAACGAAAAAGAATTGTATCAATACAATGTTCAGCAAACATATGGTAATACTCCACGAAATCAACAATTTGATCCAAACAGACAGTATAATAATCAATACGGAAGGCAATATGGTAGCAATTACAACAATCCTCAAAATTATCCCTATGATCCAAACAGAGATTATAATGATAGGTCTAGCAGTGGCAACAGATTTTATGATGAGCGAGTTGTTGAAAAGCATTTTACATTTGTAAGTCATTATTCTTACTAATAATAATAACAAAATTAGTTTATGTTTACAATTACCAATTAATCAATCATTAACTTTTGGTTGAGTAATGATAAGAATTTATAAGCTCAAATTATTTTTTATACTATTTAAGCTTATCCTATGAAATTATCACTGAAATAAAATAATCATAATTTATTAAATGTCTTAACAGAAATTTAAATTTCTTAATCAATTTAAAATCAAGTAATTTGAAAAAGTTATCAAATATTTTTTTTTCATTTCCATTATTTACACACACATTGCAAATTTTAACTATTTGAGAAGCGCATCACAAATTAAACTTTCATATCCTTCAGAATGAAGAATGGCCGTTTTGGATGGAGAAGCCTTATGACTATTATTCTAATGGTGAAATGCCTTATTTGAGGTTTTTCAATGGAACATACTACTTTCAATACCCAATGTCTCAGCTCGAACAAATTGTTCCCACTCTTGATGGCATGGAAGTCCAAATTACCGCTACCGTTGGCGAGCGATTTATGGATGAAGTAAGGAATATTATTATAAATATTATAATGTAATATAATTAACTAGTAATTATATATATATTTTTTTGTATTCAGGTAATTCAAGGATTTTCAATTGCTCGAATATATAATTCTTCAATGAAAGTATCTTTTCTTGGAGATAGTCCACAAGTGTTTAAGCCTGCTATGCCATTTACATGCTATGTGAGTATATAAATTCAATCTTAAAAAACAATATCTGTAGTATATGTATAGAATATATTCAACTTAATATATATTAAATATAATATAATATAAATAAAAATAATTTATATTAAATATAAAATCAATTCAGTATCTAATCCTATTTGCTTACAGATTGTAGCGGAATTTCATGACGGTTCACCACTTCCATTCGATCGAGTTATGATGGGCGCATTAGAAATCTCTGGTTCCGTGGAATCAAGATCTGGTGGTAGACGAGATTTACCTATGAGAGAGCTGGTTATGTCTGAAGACTTGGGCGTTTGGGAATTTAAAGTCGACCTCAAACATCAATTAGGTTTTGATTGATTTTTTTATAACTTATCTAATAGATAAAAATATTACCAAAAGATTAAAAATACGTTTTTAAACCCCTTGCTTATATTAAATACAGGTTTAGAAGATGATAGCCGAGCCAAAGAATATCTGGATGATATTACTTCTATGAAATTGCATGCATATTTCAAGGACGGATACGGGGAACGAACCAGTGCAGACCTCTTGCTAATAGCGCATCATTCACCTCTAAACCAACATATCAAAGTTTCAACATCAACAACGCATCCTAAAGTGGGAGAATATATAGTATTACATATCCAAAGCAATTTTTATATGGAATCATTCCAGTATATTGTCATGTCCAAAGGATTAATACTGCTATCTGGAAAGGAAAACATGCAGGATTCCATCAGGTAATTAGATAACTGAGGCTATATATTGTATATTAAGTTTTGGATCATCAATATTTATCAATGTTTCTTGTAGAACATTTGCCGTAACGCTTAGTGCAGAAATGGCACCAGCTGCTACAATAGTAGTTTGGCATGTGGGTTCTAGGGGCAAAGTTCTTGCAGATAGCTTAACATTCCCTGTAAATGGAATATCTAGAAATAATTTCACTGTTTTTATAAATAATCGTAAAGCGAGAACTGGACGAAAAGTTGAAGTAGCAATTTATGGTGAGCCAGGAGCTTATGTTGGATTATCAGGTAAGTCACAAAAATTTAATTCAGATGTTTAATTTTCAAATAGCATTTGTGATCAAATGTTTGATTTCATATAATCATTTTACAGAAGAAGGAAATTGTAATGAATAGTTATGAAACAAAACAACGCGCGTTTTACAATGATTTTTATTTCTTATTGGATTTCCTTGTCTCTGATCCGATTAGTAGATGATATTGAAATGTTGGATCATTTACTAAAACATTCTTGTTATCTTTTTTAATTCCAGCAGATTACTTTATATTATAAACATTGTTGGTTAAATACTAATTGTTTTTCAGGAATTGATAGAGCTTTCTACACTATGCAAGCTGGAAATGAACTAACCTATGCACAAGTCATCACAAAAATGGCATCATTTGATGAGCAGACTAATGGTACATTCAAGCATACATGGCTTTCTCATGAAGGAGATCCTGATGAGCTAGTTTATTATCCAAGTTCAACATTTGGCATTGATGCTAATAGAACATTTGAGTAAGTTTTATCTATAGGCTTATCTTGTCTATAATGAGATTAACATTGCTTGTATTAATATTACTTATGCTTCATTTTAGATATGTTGGACTTGCAGTTTTCACAGATATTATAGTTCCTAGAAGACCTGATAATTGTAATCATACTTTTGGTCTTTCGGAATGCCTAACAGGTCGATGCTATCGAACAGATAAAAGATGTGATGGTGTGCTGGATTGTGAAGATGGAACTGATGAGGCTAATTGTCGTTCACTCAATAGTACAAGTTTAGCAAACTTTAGAAAGTTTCGTTTCAATAGAATACAATGGCAGTATGAAAATGTTTGGCTATGGAAAGACATCAATATAGGACCACATGGACGGTAAGATTGTTTGCAGATCATATCTATATTATTAATTGTCAATTATACAAATCATTTTTATACTCTTATTAAATTACTTTTCTAAATGATACAATTCTATATACGTTTTTATATTTTTTTAAGGTATATTTTTAATATTGACGTGCCGGAGCGACCGGCTCATTGGATGATTTCCGCATTCTCCGTATCTCCTTCTAAAGGTTTTGGAATGTTGCAACGAGCTATTGAATATGTCGGTGTTTTACCATTCTTTATAAATGTGGAAATGCCTGATAAATGTAGGCAAGGCGAGCAAGTTGGTATCAGAGTATCTGTGTTCAATTATATGCTAGAAGCCATTGAGGCTACTGTAGTGCTAGAAGGCTCTTCAGATTATAAATTCGTTCATGTAGAGGAAGATGGTGTTGTAAGTATTATAAATATATCATTATGCATGCTTATTTCAATAATTTGCCAATTTTTTCTATCTATTATTATATAGGTTCGGTCATATAATCCACGCACATCATTTGGCGAGCATCAGTTTTTTATTTATATACCATCCCAAGATGCTGCAATTGTGCATCTTCCTATTGTTCCAACAAAACTTGGAAAGTTAACAGTGCGCATACATGCAATAACTCTAATTGGGAAAGATCAAGCAATAAGAACCCTATATGTAGAGGTAAACCGATTACTTTTGGACATTGAATTAATGTTTTATAATAAATATTTTGAATTTCATATCACATAGATAATGTATTAATTATCACTTTTTTAACTTTTTAGCCAGATGGAGTTCCACAATATAGGCATCAATCTATACTGCTTGATCTTAGCAATCGTGCATATTTCTTCCAATATATGCATGTTAACGTTACTGAGACACCTATAATACCATATGAAGTAGACAGGTACTATGTTTATGGTTCCAATAGCGCCAAACTTTCAGTTGTCGGTGATGTTGTTGGACCCATTTTTCCAACCATGCCTGTTAATGCTACATCTTTATTAGATCTTCCAATGGTAAGTACTACTATTTTCTCATATTTATTAGTTAGTTATACAAAAACTAAAAATTTAGAATAACTGTGTATGTGAGCCGAACTTTGACTTTTTATCAAAGTTTTCTCAAAAGGCTGAAGCGAATTCAAAAATTTAAAAGTCATTCAATGAAATAAGCACTTGCAATGTTAGATTTTTTATACAATCTTTAGAAAAGTTCAACATTTTTCGTTCACGTTTTAGCCTAAAATCCTGAATCAATTTTGGAAATATAAAATATGTTCATAGTCTTAATGAACATATGTACTAATTATGGACTTATGATGTTTTACAGTTATTCGGCAAACTTATGAATTACTCATAAATAAATATATTGATTTCTTAATGATTATGTTGATTATTTACAAAAATAATCAAAATTCCATATACAACTTTCCACAAACGTTTTATATAACTTTATCTCTATAAATGTTTTATATGTTCTCTATAATAAAAGTTTGTTCCATTTTCACGTTATCAATGGATTTTTTCTAACAGGAGGTATATATGTCTTATACTAAAATTCATTTATGAGTATCTAAATACTTGTTATTTTTAGGACTCTGCTGAACAAAATATGTTTAGTTTTGCTGCAAACTTATATACTACAATGTATATGAGATTAATAAGCCAAAGAAATCGAACGCTCGAGAGAAACTCATTCCATCACATGAATATTGGATATCAGAGGCAATTGTCTTTTATGAACCCAGATGGATCTTTTAGTTTATTTAGGAGTGATTGGTATGTATAACAATAAAAAAAACTCAATGAGGTATTTCATTGTAACACCTTATAATAATAGGACATGAAATGACACAGTCTCACAAGAGTCTATTTGGATTCTTTGAACAAAAAACCTTAAAGATATTTTAAATATTATACATTTCTCTTTCTAGGAATCAGTCAGCTTCCAGTGTGTGGCTTACGGCGTATTGCGCTCGGGTATTACAAGAAGCATCTTTCTATGAATGGGAAAACTTTATCTATATTGATCCAAATGTAATAGGCAAAGCTGTTAGTTGGATTCTTAAACATCAAACTGCAGAAGGTTCATTTTATGAAATTACATGGTCGCCAGACAGAAAAACAAATGGAACATTGAATTGGCCAAATGATCCTATACAGCAAAGAAATATTACGTTGACAGCCCATGTTTTAATTACACTTGCTTCTGTAAAAGATTTGTCAGGTAAATCAAATATATATATATATATATATATATATATATATATATATATAATATATATATATATATATATATATAGATATAATTATATATATATATCTCTATCTAGATCTATATATATTTTTAAATATATATATCTATATATATGTATATATATATATATACATATACATATACATAAACATATACTAGTAGCTTGACATACAAGTTCAATTCGTTCTGTTAATACGCTCATATATCGAATCGCTCATATCTCGAAGCAATTTTTTCATATAAATACATTGAAATACCATTAATTCGTTCCAGCATGGTGGTTTTTGTTTTTATGAATATTGTATTAATTTACTTATTGTTTTTCTTGTCTATTCATTTATATTAATATATAATTTAAATAACTATATATAGTTATAACTAATATATATTAGTTATAACTAATAAAATAATTTACTCTCATAAAACAGACAAAATATTTCTATGGTAGGATAACAATTATTCCAACTGTTCGTCAGTTTCTCTTTTTAAGTTTCTTATTAAGAAATAAAATGAATTACATTAAATTACATTACATGAGGGAGAGAACATAATTATATGCATGCATACAACTTAACCATGAGTTATGAACAGAATTGTATATATAATTTTTTAATATTATTTAAACACTCTAAAGTTAAAGTGGAAGGTTGACAATAATTTCATATTAGACTACTATATTTTTAATCTAATCTAACAGAATATAGAATAGAGCAAGAAATAATACAGAAATTAAAATTATTTTGTAAATTGATTTGTCAATATAAAATAATTTGATTATTTTTGTGTCATTTAAGGATCTCTTGGATCAAAAGTTGCTGTAGCTCAACAACAGGCAATATCATGGTTAGAAAGAAATATTAAATTGTTAGAAGAACATGGTGAACCATATGATGTTGCTCTAGTAGCCTATGCACTGATGCTTAGCAAAGCTTCTAATGCCGAGGCTGCATTTGGAATATTGGCAAGGCACGCAAGAATTGAGGGTAAGTTTTAACTGAATAAGCAACTTATATGAATAAACAATTGGCAATATATATTTAAATACTTGATATATTTTTTTCAATTACAATTTTTTCATTTGTATTGTCTAGGTGGCCTGATGTATTGGGGAAAGGAAGCCGTACCGTTACCACCATATAAGTTGGAAAATCAGAAACCTTTCTTATTACCTCGATTGCCATATAAATATGACTCAATGAATATTGAAACAACAGCTTATGCATTGATGACGTATGTTGCAAGACATGAACTTATGGTCGACCCTATTGTTAAATGGTTAAATGCACAGAGACTTACTGATGGTGGTTGGGCTTCTACACAGGTATAATAAGATTTTACAGAATGTTGGTATTTTTAATTTTCAGAAAAAGTATATTTTCTGTCTTTGCTAGATTCGATTAGTTAATTTTGTTTCAAACTAATTTATTTGACATGGAATGGAATTCACTTGGAATGAAAACAAGATAAAGTAGCAGTTTGCTTTTTGAATAAATTTGCCTTCATTTGTAATCTAAAAGTACTTTAAATTCAGTTTGTTGGTTAGTTTTACTTAATAATTGGTTGTATATTTCTTTGTTATCAACAGTTAAAGGAAAAATCATTTGCTTCCATATTAATAATATGAAGATAGCTGTTCATTAACTTAGTTTTATATAGTCATTAGTATCTAATAACAAGATATCGTTTAATATTTTTTTTAAGGATACTGGAATGGCTATGAAGGCGCTTTGTGAATACACTACAAAATCCAGACTACGAGATGTTTCTTCTCTTACAATAACTGTGGAAGCATCTTCACTGCCAGGAATGACCAATATGTTTTATGTAACTGATAAAAATTTGGCTCAGTTGCAAACACTTGAAGTAAATAGCTATTGTTTATTTTAACTGATATAACATTGCATTACATTTTTAACAAAATAACTTAATTACATGTCCATAATGAGGTATATGCATATTTTTCGATAATAAATAATACTTGGATGCTAAAGTTCAAAAGTATATATATTAATTTAAGAATTCATTTTAAAAACTTTTATGCCTGTAATATCAGTTCACTATTAAATATGTAATTGTATTCATTTATTTTTAAGATACCAAATGCTTGGGGTACTGTAAAGGTTCAAGCTAAAGGGGCAGGTTATGCAATCTTGCAAATGACTGTTCAATACAATGTGGATATTTATAAGTTCCAAACGCAGCCTCCTATACGAGCTTTTTCATTGCGGACGCATGCCACTTTCCATGGAAGAAATCAGTCTCACATAACTTACGTCAGTTGTCAAAGGTTTGAAAATAATTTGAAGTAATTTTTATTGCAATCTTAATAATTTTTATAGAAAATTAATATCAAATAATTATTTCTATACAGTTGGATAAACCAAAATGAATCCATACGTTCCGGCATGGCAGTATTGGATGTTGCAATTCCAACTGGTTATATAATACAACAGCAAAAACTAGATTCATATATTCTGAGTCAAAGGGTAAGAAATTTGCAGAGGGCTAGATTCCAACCCCGGAAAGTTCTATTCTATTTTGATTTTCTGGATGAACATGAAACTTGCATAAACTTTACAATTGAGAGGTGGCATCCAGTTGCTAATATGTCTAGATATTTACCCATCAGAGTTTATGAATACTATGCTCCAGGTACGAAAATCAATAAAATCTAGTATAATTTATTTTTATTCAAATAATAGTCTCTAAAGAGTCATAAATATTAGATTATATTAAACAATAGATTCTAACAGATTAGAAAATAGAATGAAATAGATTTCCAGTTAATTTTTTCAATTTCACTAAAAGTGTGTGTATATATTGTTTCAAGATTAATTGAAATACTATCTATAAAATTTCTAATTTTTCTATTTCAGAGAGATTTAATGAAACCATTTTTGATGCATTACCTACATATCTTCTGAATATTTGTGAAGTTTGTGGTAGCTCGCAGTGCCCTTACTGCTCTATTTATAATGCCGCCGTAGCAAATCCACTGCCTTCATTGTTTGTTGTACTAATAATTGCACTCACAGTCTCGCACAGAAGTTGGAGTTCTATAGATTTATATTTTGGATGGAGAGTATCATAAATATTCTTTTAAGTAAGCATTTGTTATAAAATTATTATTATTTTTTTTATTTTGTTTAAGAACACAATGAAAGAATCAAGTTATTTTATCTGAAAAGTCTTACCTATAAACTTCATGTGTTAAATTGTGTATTTACATTTAACTCATGCTGCATTAATTTTAACTTACTATTTTGTGACTTATTTTTTTTAGTATTTTAATGATATTTTATTAAGGGTCATGCTTGTAATTGATCATAAGGCACATTTGCTTTGTGTAAACGAAAAGTCATGTGTATGATCTTTGAATGGGACACATATCACAAAGAGATAGCTGAATTTCTTCAGTTAAACTAGTGTGAAATCTTATTTGTGTTCATGTTATTTGAAAACTAGATATTTTTATAGTAAACTTCTAATAACACTAAGTAAAAAAATATTTTAGTAACAAGAAAAAAATACATTTAACATTTGTTAGTTGAAATTTTTATACTTTAAGACTATTACTCATTTTATTTAAATGAATATTTCTATTATCTAAGTTATTGAAATTGTGTTTTTCACATTTCGCTATTATATTTATTTAATAATTAATTTCATTTACTTTATTATTAAACAGTGTCCATATTTGAATTTATATATATATATATATATATATATATATATATATATATATATATATATATATTACTTTAATAGTGAATAAAATTAAGTACTCTAAAATAAGATATTATTTTATACTGAACGTAGCCGTCCATAAAATCTGGTCTCGTAATATATATATTATAAGATATGTAAATTTATTAATAAAAAATATAAAAAATAGTGCATTCTCCTGTGAAATGCTCCTTAGATTATTTAGTGTAATTTTGTTGATAACATTCAAAAATGTGCAATTTGAATTTTATTTTGATACAGTATTATGATTTAAAAAATTAACAATTGTTTCACAAATTCACATCAAAATTTAAATGAATCAGTGTGCATTGTACATTATATTTTATATATCTTTAAGCTTAGAATAATCATTTGAAGTGCAAAATGTACTAGTTAAAACTGAAAAATGTGTACAATAGGTGTGCCTTTAGGTTTAAGTCTCCAAAATAATAAAAAAGTATTTTTGAACAAAAAAATATTATCGGTACTGTATTTTTTCAAAGATAAATATAAAATTATACATTATTACAAAAATTGTGGTCTGATGCCGACATTATAGCATTGATATATATAAATAGATGATGCATTTGACACAATATTTATTTCAAAATTATTGACATGACATCAATTAATAAATTTATAATAAATTGTTCATTTACATGTGTAAATAGAAATAATCTTGATTATCTCGAGATGAATCTGATTTTGTTATGATTAATTAATTAATGTCATGTCTTATACATAAATATAAAACATCAATTTTATTTAATACAATTTTCATAGTCTATATTAATGAAATATATTAAAAAATATTTTAAATATAAACATCCAAGTTCCAAATGCTTGTATATTTTTTATTGTACATAATTTTATATTTTAATAGATGAATAAAAAAAAATTATAAATTGAATTATGTTTATTTATCAGAATATAATAAATATTAATTTGTTTTTGTTATAGACAACTTCTAACAATTTTATCTTTTATAATTAATTAATAAAAAAATGAATTATTTTACAGAAATCTTTTGCCAATTTTTCCAGAGGGAATTTTTCCTATTCCAGTTAGCTTCAGCATTTTTAGTATCATTTTTTGTTTGAGCGGTTTTTACATTTTCTTGTTGATATGGTTCATTATTGACAAGGTCCTGTTTTTTCCTTTTTTGTAATTTGCCAAATAATATCTTATTATCTTTATTATAAACATATATAGGATTTTTAGGTTTAGCTTGAGTACAAAATTCTGCAGATTTCAAAACATCTTTTATTGATATAATCCTTCTAGGTAATGCATAAAGTCCCATTATGATATAAAACTAAATTTAAAGAATTTAATTATAATTTTATTCAATTTTAAGTTAGAGAATAATTTTTATTCTACTTACGTTTACTCTGTCAAATTCTGAAATTGCACGTGGTTTTGTGTTGACATTTTACTTAAATATCACATTTTTAAACATTGCCATTTGGTACATCTTCACTTATTCATTAGTTTACAAGGTAAGAGTTATGCTTTTTTTGTAATTTCCTTATTGTATTCAATTTTAATATTGCATAAAATTTTAATTAAACCATTTAGATTTTCAACCATAACCTATATGTTTTTCTAGAAAATAAGAATGGTTAATAATTGATGTGCTTGAATGGTGAATTTGCGGATTCTATAATAGCGTTTATTATTTATTGAAGTAATAATGAAGACAAAATGTTTACAAATTAATATATACATACAAATTACTTTTTATAAATGTCCAGCGAATGTAAACAATTACGTTTCTCAAAACATAACCTAATTGATAATCATGAGTATCACTAAAAATAAATTTAAGCTGTATAAATCTATAAACATTCGACAATTTTCTTTAAATGCCTTTGATGAGATTTTACCATTTTCGTCATCAAAGAAAATATTGTCAACTGGTGAAGAAATACACATTTCTTCAAAAAAGAAAGTAAAACCCCCCAAATCTAAAGTTAAATCTACTCACGTTTTTAAATCTCAACCTGATAAAAGTGCTCGTTTTAATGAAGTCAACATTCAAATGATTTCTCAAACTCTGTACAATCAGTTATTTAGTGAATCATCAAAATGTGAAATTAGTGAAAAAGATTTGGAAAAGTAAGTACACACTCTTTATAATGTATACAATTTTACATAATTCATTCATATACGTTTAATTTATGAAATCATAATAATAATTTATATAAGAAGGTTGATATTTTATTGTTAATAAATTTTGTGGGATCAAATCATCCAAAGATTACATCGAGATTTAAGTAAACATGGTATGCTAGAATCAAAAATTGAATGCCAGCCAAATATCGAATTAAAATTGCCACCCTTGGTGGGTAAAAATGTGGAAGAACATTTTGCAAATATTGCTGAGGAACAGAGTGGACCATATAGAAATATATTAGAAAATTTGATTAATAATCAGTTACCAGACATGCCTACAGTATGTATCACTCTTGATATGTTTTTATTTCGTTTTTGAGTATGATATTTATATAATTATCCAGGAATGGGTATTCACAAGTGGTTGGACAAAGTATACTAAATCGGGTGCCCAACAAGTGGATTATCCAACAGATGATGCTTTAGTTTTTGATGTTGAGGTAATATCTGATGATGAGATCTTTAAATTTAAATTAGAAAATCTGATTTGGAATCACTGTCTCATATTAATCTACAGGTATGCATGTCTGAAGGAAAACTTCCTACAATAGCTTGTGCTGCAAGCAGTGATGCTTGGTATAGTTGGTGTAGTCCATCCTTAATCGACTCAGAATATTCTATGATTTATCAACATTTAACAACAGATTTATTAATTCCATTAGAAAGTAGTCATTGCCAATTGCCTTCGGATTTTGAACAAAAACACTTATGTCCTCGAATTATTATAGGACACAATGTTTCTTATGATAGAGCTAGAATTAAAGAACAATATTGGCTTCAGCACACTGGTAAAATTTTTATTTTTTTGTCTGTATTATTTGAATAATTATTGATATTTTGTGTATGCACATTAGCCCTTCGTTTTGTTGATACCATGTCTCTGCATGTCTGCATAAGTGGAATAACAAGTTATCAGAGAGCAATGCTTTCAAGTAAATCAGATAAAGAGCCTTCTTTTGAAGATCAGTTTTGGATATCACAAGCTTCTTTAAATAGCTTGAGTGAAGTAAGTTAATTGTATTAAAATATATTTATTCAAACTTTGCAATTCTTTGTCATAATATTTAATTTTTTTCAACAGGTTTATAAGTTATACTGTAAAAAGACTTTAGATAAACTGCCTCGAAATGTATTTGTTGAAGGAACATTAAATGATGTCCGAGAAGATTTTCAGAACCTTATGTCATATTGTGCAAATGATGTAAAAGCTACTTACAATGTGATTGAAAACATTTTTCCTTTGTTCAAGGAACGGTTTCCTCATCCAGCTACATTTGCTGGAATGCTTGAAATTGGTAAAAATATTTTAATTATATTAAGGACAATGAGATAATGAAATTATTATTTTATAAGAAATTGATGTTTCTTATTAGGGTCTGCTTATTTACCTATAAATTCCAATTGGCTTCGATATATATCGGATTGTGATAGTACCTTTGAAGATCTTGGTTTGGAAGCAAAATTTCTTTTATCACGGAGGGCCAATGAAGCTTGTAAGTTGATGCACGATGAGATGTATAAAAAGGATTTATGGATGTGGGATCAGGATTGGTCTACAAAATCTATTAATTTAAAAAGACCTGTGAAAATTAAATTAAGAAAATTACAAAATTTTGAATGTAATAATGAAAAGGATCAACAGAACGAGAATAGGTAGCCTATGTTTTACTAAAGTTTATTAAAATATTTATTTAAAACCTTTCTTTTTATATATTAGAATCCTTACTATAGATGAAATAAATCATGATGAAACAATAGATGAGTTAGAGGAAAATTTTCAAAAATTGGAAAAAAAGTTTTCCAATTTGTTTGATATGAAAAGTTTATTGCCGGTTCAAAAGACCTTTATTGCCTGGTTACCCAGCATGGTATTGTAAACTATGTGAAAAACCATCAGAAGATTCTAACTGGCATCCTGGTCCTCAAAATATTTCAACGTCAATGCAAATTACACCAAAATTGTTGAGATTAAGCTGGGAAGGTAAAATTCATACAGATGATTTAATGCAGTGGCAGTAAAAATTGATTAAGAGATTCAAGATTGATATCAATTTTCTTCGCTCAATTTAGGTTATCCCTTACATTATATTCGAGGCCAAGGTTGGGGTTTTATTGTACCATATAAATCAAAACGAGAAGATGATGAAATCACTGGACAATTGCCATTAGATGAATTGGTTCAAAAATGCCCAGTTGCTACACCAAATGTTTCTGCTACTGAATCTCAAAGTGAATTAGTGATGGATACGCTTTGGAAAAGCGTTCAGGTATGAAGTAATGAAAATAACATTATTTTCTATGTTTAATTGTTGATGTTGACTATTTCAAACAGGAAAATATTTCAAAAAAAGAATATTGGAACAAGCCTAGGAAGAAAATACCACCATACCAAGGAACTGGTGTATGGTGTAATGTTGATTTAGAAGAATGTGCTTGGTTTATTAGGCTTCCACATAAAGATGGGGTATCTAAGAAAGTTGGTAATCCACTTTCTCGTGATTTTTTAAACAAATTTTCTGAAAATGTGTTAGCTGGTGATGATCAATGTGCAGAGACAGTAAGTTTAATAATGCAATTATGTATATGTATAAATGTGTGTGTTTCCTTAAATAATAAATAAAATATATTCTATATTATTTATTTAGGTGATACATATAGCTAGAAAACTTTCATACTGGAAAAATAATCATGATAGAATAAAACAACAGATGGTAGTTTGGTTAAAGAAAAATGAGCTTCAGGAAATTGTTCCTATTTCAAAAATGGAATTTGGCGCCATAATACCCCAGGTAAATACAAAGACTCACAATTGATTTTTTGAGTTTAGCAATAATATATTGGCATCATCTCAATTGAAAATAATCAGATTGTAGTATGTGGAACCCTCACTCGAAGAGCAATGGAAGCAACTTGGCTAACAGCTAGTAATGCCCAAAAGGATCGTTTAGGTTCCGAATTAAGGGCAATGGTTCAGGCTCCACCAGGTTATAGTATTGTTGGGGCTGATGTTGATTCTCAAGAACTGTGGATTGCATCTGTAATAGGTTTGATTATAACAATGGAATGTTATGATTGTATTTTGCAAAGCATTTTTAAGAAAAATATTTTTTAGGTGATAGCCATGCAGCTGGAATACATGGTGCTACTCCATTTGGTTGGATGACATTAAGTGGGAGTAAATCTGAAGGCACAGACATGCATAGTGTTACAGCAAAAGCTATTGGTATTTCAAGAGACCATGCCAAAGTTATAAATTATGCCAGAATATATGGTATTATTATCAATTATATCAATTAATTGTATTTGTACTACCTTTCATTCATAAAATACATGGAAATTTTTTACTTTTGTTTTGTATATATTTAAAATTATAAAATTCATACTTATAATTAATATAATATAAAAAATATACGTATTTTGAAATTTATAATCTAAGATATTTATTTTAAGGTGCTGGGCAAAATTTTGCTGAACAATTGCTGAAGCAGTTCAATCCCACAATGACCACAGCAGAGGCTCGAAATAAAGCTAAAAGAATGTTCTCATTAACCAAAGGGAAAAGAGTATACTATTTAAAAGATAATATTGCAATTGAAAATAATTTGGATATGCAATTGAGCCACAAAAATGGCTACACTGGATATGAAGCTTTAAAAATGTCTGCAGTATATGGAAAAAGTGTCACAGAAATGTTTGGAAAGCCGAAATGGGAAGGTGGTACTGAATCTGCTATGTTTAACAGACTTGAGGAAATTGCAGGTAAATGTAGATTTTCATTTTAAGTTTATGATGACGCCTAAAAAACTTAAATAGTAAGTCAAAAATTAATATTTTTATCTTTTCCTTTTCTTTATCTATGATTTTTACTTAGGATCGGCTAATCCTGTTACTCCCTTTTTGGGAGGAAGGTTAAGTAGAGCCTTGGAACCAAATGAAGCCATTGACAATGATAGATTTTTGCCCACACGGATAAATTGGGTTGTTCAAAGTGGAGCAGTTGACTTCTTACATCTGATGTTGGTTTCAATGAGACATCTCATGGGAAAAAGTTTAAGATTCTGTCTTTCATTTCATGATGAGGTTCGCTATCTTGTAAAAGATGAAAGTAAATATGAAGCAGCACTTGCCATGCATATTACAAACCTCCTTACAAGAGCGTTTTGCATACAAAGGTATGTTTTCTATTTAACATTTGCATGATAAATTATATATGTGTGTGTGTCATAAACTTGAAATAAAATGTTTTTATAACAAATGTCTAAAATAGGTAATGAGCAATTTGAAATTTTAATAGAATAAACAGATGATCATCAGATAAATATAATAAAATTATATTATATTACCTAATTTTTTCACATTTAGTTCATTGTAAATGAACAATGTTTTTCTTTTAACTCTTTTTTAATTTGACGAATGGGCTGCTAATTATTATTACACACACACACACACATATATTATGTATATATATATATATATATATATATATATATATATATGATTTAGTAGTTAATTTTGATATTGAAATAGATGAGTGAGTTCTTGAGGGCAATATATCAAACAAAGAAAAGGCAAAGATTTATAAAATAATCTTTAATTCCAAACGTTTCGACATTCATTTTGATGTCATCATCAGTGGATATTGAACATGGTATTTTATATCTAAAAACACTTTGCCTCGGGATTTGCAGCGATTACATAGCTTCCAGTCTGTGCAAAAATACTTAAATTTTTTTTCCACAGTTTTGCAAAACAAAACTCTCATTATTAAGCGATATAATCTCATTCTTTGAACAGCTGTAATATCTGTCTTGCCTAAAAAATGATTTTCATTTTAATAACTTCAACAATTTAAAGAAACTACGAATAATATAGAAATTATTTCAATAAACCTACGTTTAGTACACGGCACAAATGTTTCATTTGTTTTATTATTTTCATTATAATTATTTACGGGGAACAGGGTACAATATTCTTCTGATTCAGGCATTTTTTATTAAATCAAGATTTGTACTACCATGTAACCTTAAAATGTTTATTTATCTATGTTGATTTTCTTGTCGATATCGGTATGCATACACGATGATGCCGGTACGCATACATCGACGGAACTCTATTCAAGCGACACGACGAGTAATCACAATCGAAAGAAATGATTCACAAAAATGATTTCATCGAAAGCGAACGACGTACAGTTCGGGCGTAACGCTATTTCCGTTGCATTATCACAGATTTGCACCAAAGTCGCGTCTAAAGAAGTTTTACTTCAAAATATTTAAAATTTTTCAAAAGAGTCGATTTTTTTTGAAACATTCCGAAATACTCGATTGTTTTGTCAAACAATACCTAATTGTTTCAAAGTTTAAAAAAAAAAAATTCATGCTTTCAAAAATTTTAAATTGCGCAATTTGCCAATTGCCAATATGAAGACATCGTATTCTAATATTGTCTGGGCAATTTGCCTTAAGGCACGATGCCTTGCACCACTAGTTTTGAAACGACTCGTTTTGAATAATTCGCTTCCTGTTCCCTCGCTTTATGCCATAATAGATAAGGTTTTTAACTTCCCGTAGGGTAAGTTATAGTAATCGCAAAAAAATCGAAAATGAAAATTTTTATATATCTTTACGTTTCAGAGGTTACTGAATATTTTGGCATACCTTAGAAAAAATGGATGTATGTGTGTGTGTGTGCGTGTATGTATGTGTGTGCGGATACAAATTTTCGTCGACGATTTCGGGAACACGGATGAAGCGATTTGAATAATTCAAAAAACATTCGATTCGTATTGATAAGGAGACGTGCTGATTAGTTTTTGGCGGAGGCAGGTCTAGCCGTTCCGAAGTATGCGGCAAAAAGTGCCAAAAACGGTACCTCAGTTTTTAAGAGAACGGAGCGTCCGATTTTAATAATTCAAAAAACATTTTACTTGTATTGATCAGATGAAGAATTGGTCAAATTTTCATGAAGGTAGGTCTAGCGGTTTCGGAGATCTAACGAAAAAAGTAAAAAAAAATGCCATTTGGCAGTCAAAAATGATCATTAGACATATGCACATCAAATTATCAGATATTTTATAGAGATTTTAACAATAAGTATAATTTTGTTTACATTCCTATGGGTTCCGTACCAATGTTTATCCGTTAGACAGCGACGCGGCGCTTATGCGCTTTATATTTTGTCTCTATGCAGTTAAAGCAGTACGATTGCTTTGAAAAATTGCTTTTCAAAAAAAGTAATTTTTTGTCCAATTTATAGTTTCTTAAAATACTTATTTTTTCGAAATAAAATTTTTTAAAAATGTTAATCGTTAATAAATTTTTAGTACGGGAAGTTCCAGCAATTTGCCTTAAGGCACAATGCCTTAACGCTTTAATTGCCTTAAGACAGAATTCCACTTACAGCTAGTCATTTCTTTGTTCGTTCTCATCTCTATCTAATGACTCTATTCAAACAACTTTGTTTATATTTAATATGACAACTGATGACAACACACTAAAAGAGCAGTAAATTTATTTTGAATATTCGAAAAGCGTGAATTGTCGTTGTTCTTTATTTTATGATAATTAAATATGATTATGTTTTAAGTGTGTGAATGCTTCATAAAAAAATATAAATTACATAAGATTAGTGCTTACTGCCATGTACAAGGTTGAAATTTAAAATAATGTGTATTTGACTTCTGTTTCACAATAACATCAGTGATTAATGTTATAGTTCTCAAATATTTTCAATTCATTCAGCTAATGTAGCAAAACGGCAAAAGTAGAGAAGAATTTTTTATTGTTTTCTAAATTTTTGAGGTTAAACAGTTGCGTTGGATTGGATTGTAAACATATCTTACTTTATAACATGGATTGTGTAGATTTCGAAAATAGCGGAGGAAAAAACAAATTATATTTTTAGTTTAGACAAAAATTACAATGAAACTTTCAGAAAGAAATATTCCGTTTGCTGTATTTGTCAAAACTTGATTAGGAATAATGATCAAAGTGAATCTATTATTCAGGATGAGCAGTTTTTACAAAATAATCCCCACATAAAATTAAGTTTAGAAAAATCTCTTTGTGTTGCTTGCATTTTTCAAGACACCATAACTATCTCAGAGTCAGATGACAATGAACATATATCTCGAGCTGCTGAAAAAATGAAAAAAGAAGATTTAAGTATTAATAATAATGAATTTTTAGACCATTATGCAAAGGGTAGTAATGCAACAATATCTTCACATTTATCACTTCTAAACAATAATTTTATTCCTAATACATTTACTGCACAAAATCAACTTTATACAGATGTAACAGAATCTGACTCCTCGAATACATTTTTTACAACTAAAGATAATATTGCTTCTGATAATAATAATATATTATTACTTACTGATGATGATATTAAGTGTAAAGAATATATCAATTTAAAGGACAAGCAATCTTGTATCTTTTGTCAAAAAGTATTGAGGTCCATTACTGGTACTCTGCAGCATGCAAAAGATCAGTGCCGTAAACACAGTAAAAATATTTGTCTCGTGTGTGGTTTAGAGTTTGAAACTCACGATAAACTAAAGTTGCATGTGTCAGTACATTTTCAAAATAATAAACATTATAAATGCAAAATTTGTAACAAGTCATTCAAAGCTCGGATTTCCTATAGGAAACATATATGCATAGCAGTTAGACCTGATCAAAATACTATTTGTCATTTATGCAAAAAAGTATTTCCAACAGAAAAGAGGTTGAAGTTTCATTTAAAGTGCCATAAATCAGAAACAAACTCTTTGATTTGCACGATTTGTAGCAAAGTATTTCTCGATGAAAGTAGATTGTATGACCATTATTTATTTTTGCATAAGAAGAGGTCTAAATGGAATTGTCATTTATGTGATAAACAATTCAATATATGGCGTAGGCTAATCAATCATATGAGTTTGCACAATGATTATCGTCAGTTTCAATGTGATATATGTGACAAAAGATTTCTCAATAAGCAAACGCTAGAAGAACATGCCACTAGTCATTCAACAACAAAACCATTTAACTGCCATGAATGTGGTCAAGAGTTTTCAAGAAAATCTCGTTTAAAATGTCATTTAAAAATGCATCGGTCTGAAAAATTGACTCCGCAAGAAGTTCTTACTTGTAGTATTTGTCATGAAGTTTTTCGAGATGAGAATTCTATGGATTTAAACCATACTGGAAATTGTGTTGGACCTCTGAAACAGATTTTACTGAGTATAATATATTGTTGTGAATTTTGTGAACATTACTTTAGCACGCCTAATGCTCTTAATATACATCGCCAAATTCACACTGAGCTCTATGCATTTTCTTGCAAAATTTGCAATAAAAAATTTTTAACGTTCAGCCGGTGCATGACACATAAAACTATTCATGGCATTCATAAAGATGACAGAGTAGATGATTTTGGTGTTGTTAAACATTTCTTATGTAATATTTGTGATAAATCCTTCCTGCTATGGTCGCAACTGCAACGCCATTGCAAATTGAAGCATTCAACAATTAAACGTATAAATTGTGAGAAATGTGGCAGAATGTTTTTTAATACTCACACTTTTGATAATCATAAAAAAGTTTGTAATTTAAGCGAGTGCAAATATAGGTGCAATAACTGTACAGACACATTTTCTACTAAAATGGGTTTAACAGTACATGAAGATTCGAAGCACAACTTGAAACCAACTTGTGAAATATGTGGTAAAGGAATGGATAGTTTGGCAGATTTGGAAAAACATATATCTTCTCACAATCAAAAATGTGCTTGCCCACAATGTGGAAAAGTTTTTATATCAAAGAATAGTTTGAGGGCTCATTGTAATCGAGTACATTTCAAACAAGCCGCTCACAAATGTTCATTTTGTCCTCGAACATTTTATAATAAAACTGATAAATCTGATCATGAACGTAAGCATACTGGGGACCGACCCTTTGAATGTGGATTTTGTGGTGTTTCATTCCGAACTCGATCTATGTGTCAGCAACATACTAAAATTCATGATGAGGAAAAGCCTTATGTGTGTGATATTTGTGGAATAGCATTCAGACGAATTACTCATTTGAAAAGTCATAATAAGAATCATCATTTATTAAATAAATGTCAACAGTGTCAAGTAAACTTTAGAACAAATAAGGAATTAAAGAAACACTTATTAACTTGTTTG